GTGCTCTGGGGGGGGGTGGGGGGGGGGGGGGCAGCGTGCTGCAATTGGCAGCGTCCTTCAGCCCAGTCCTTGGCCTCTGGCCCTGCTCACGCCTTGGGGGCAGTGCCTGTCTCTAGGCCTGCAGGGAGTGGTGGTACCGCCACCCCCACCTCCCTGCCTGTGTAACCCCCACCATAGCTCTCTGCTCCTGGCCTTTCCCAGCATGCAACAGGCTTAGGTTGTGGGACTGGTGTTGGGGGATAATCCTGGGGTGATGCTGACTGCCCACTCTGCCGGCAGTGCACCACTACGGCCGTGCCGTTATCATGTTTGGGGTGCCCTACGTCTACACCCAGAGCCGCATCCTCAAGGTGAGCTGGGCTAGGCACCCCCAGCCCACTGAGTCTTGCCAACCTGCCCTGTCTGCTGGGGCATGGGGTGGGGGCAGCAGGGCCTGGACGTGGCCAGGACCCACCCAGCATGGCTCCATGGCCCCTGGTGCGGGGGGACCTCCCCCAGCCCCGTGCAATGTTCCCTGCACCCCGGCAGGCACGGCTGGAATACCTGCGGGACCAGTTCCAGATACGGGAAAATGACTTCCTGACCTTCGATGCCATGCGGCATGCAGCCCAGTGTGTGGGCCGGGCTATCCGCGGCAAGACCGACTACGGCCTCATGGTCTTTGCTGACAAGGTACCATGGGCGGTGCATCCGGGGGGGACGTTCCCACCCTGCACAGCCTATGGTCCAGGCTCCCCCAGCACTCCCTGACTGCTTCCCCTTGGCAGCGCTACGCCCGGGCCGACAAGCGGGGGAAGCTGCCACGCTGGATCCAGGAGCACATCACCGATGCCAACCTCAACCTAACAGTGGATGAGGCCGTGCAGGTGGCCAAGTACTTCCTGCGCCAGATGGCCCAGCCCTTTCATAAGGTCGGTCCTGCCCTCCCACCTGCTCCAGTCCCAGTCCCAGACCTGGTCCCCAGGCCTGCCTCTCACCCCCTCTCCCTGCTGCAGGAGGACCAGCTCGGCCTGTCCCTGCTGACACTGGAGCAGCTGCAGTCTGAGGAGACTCTGCGCCGTGTCGAGGAGATCGCGCACCAGGCCTGAGCCCTGTCGGGGCCCATAGGTGCCAGGTGCCCTGCAGGCAGGGCTGGTGCTTGGTCTGGACTGGACCAGGGGTGTCTGGGCTGGCAATAAAGTGGTTTGTACCTGGGCTGCTGCCTTGCTCTGTGCCCTGCTGACACCCTGCACGCTTAGACGCGAGACCAGTAGCTACCGATGCCTTTATTGCGTGGCCACACTGGCCTTGCTCCATGCTATAAATACAATAAATACAGGACGGCTAGATGGACAGCTGGGCTGCAGATGGTTAAGGCAGCAGATGCTTTATGCCCAGCCAGGGCAGGACCTTCCTGAGAGAGCGACTCTTGCTACGGTGGCTGGCATTGAGCAGCAGGGCCCGGTGCGGTTGGGGTGACTGCAGCTGGGCTAATGCAGGTCGTGGGCTCAGTTCCTTAGGTGGGTCCTAGCTGGCACTGGGCGGGGAGCTGCTAGGCGCAAGGGTCTGGGTGCTAGAGCTGAGCGCCCGGCTCTCGGGCAGGCTGTGGCTGGCAGCCTGTGGGAAGGAGGGCATCAGGGCTCATCCTGGGGCCCCAGCCTGTGCAAAGCTGGGGGGGCCAGCTAGGATGGGGATCACTCACCAGGAGGGACAGCACAGGGGCCGCTGGCCTCTCCCCAACATGCAGGACGCTCAGGGAGCTGGCGCGTTTCAGCCTGGGGGAGAGCGGGACTGTGAGAGCAGTGCAAGGTGGCTACAGGGTCTCACCTGAGCTGGAGGCTGAAGTGAAGGGGCCCTTGGGCTCCAGAGATGGGGGTCTCAGCCCCCTCCCTGACACACCCCCTCCCCCATAACAGGCTGTGGCACAAACAAGTAGTGTGGGCAGCTGTTGGTGATGGGATTGGAGCAAGGGGTCAGGGTTCACCCGGGGCAGAGGAAGGCAGTGGGGCTGGGCAGGGGCAGGGCTCACCCGGCATTGGGGGGGGTGCCCCGTGCACTCTCGCCCCGGAGCCGGGAGACCAGCTTCTCGCTGCCACGCCGAATGGACTCCCGCAGCTTGGAGAAGGAGCTGCTGCGCCGCAGGCTGCTGCCAGCCTGCGAGATACAGCTCGACTGGGGTCAGGCACATCTTGCCTGGCCCCGGTCCTGGCCCCAGGGGGGCAGTCAGCACCTCCCACCCCCACCCCTGGGCCCACACCTACCCGGCTGTGAGGCATGGTGCCACTCTGCACTGCGGGGCCATCACCTGTGGGGACGAGAGCGAGTGAGATCCCGGG